GGAGCAGAACGCCTCATCTTTCTCCCACAAAACAGCTGGTAGTTTCAAACTGCTGGCCTTGCAGTTCGCAGCCTGATTTGTAACCACTACACTACCAGAGCTCCTTAAGTTTTGCTTAGAGGCCCAGAATAAGTCCCAGGTTTCCCAGTTGACAAATCATTTGTTGGCACACTTTCATCTTGCATCAAGTGGGGAACTGTGTGGTTACAGAGTGCTCGGCATGTCATGGCCCAGATGGGCCCCAGAATCATTCATTCATTTGTTATTTATCAAATATTCACTTAGCAGCCACCATAGGTTAAGTGCTATGCTAACCAAAACACAACAACCACACCCCAAAAGGCAAGCAACCAAGAAACACCCAAGCCCATTGCAATGGAGTAGATTTTGATCCGTGGTGACCTGTGTAGATCAGAGTAAACTGTACTCACTCATTTTTTTTTTTCCTTTCCCCCTCTTCATTTATGATATTGAATAGTGTTACTTAAAAAACTTTTTTTTATTGTGAATTGAGTGAAGATTTACAGAGTAGATTATCCGTTTTACATTCAACAAATCATGTACACCTCATTGATTGCAATTCCCTCCACGTAAAATCACTTATCCCACTTCCGCGCTGCGTTTCTTGTTTCCATCCCTCCTTTTTCCCCTACCCTCCTGAATTTTGTCCTTGAATGGATGCCCTTTTGATCCTAAGTGGTTGATCATTCTATGGTGGTGTTGTCTCTCCTATAGATATATCTATTGCTTGGTTGAAAAACTGAGGAATATGGGTTCCATTCCACAACTAAACCAAGGGACCAGTCTCTATTCAACCAGTAAACCTGATTTTTTTTTTTTTTTTAATGAGTTTGAGTTTTGCTCCACGTTTTCTCCCATTTTATCTAATGTGATCCCTTTCAGAGCAGTTGATAGTGGTAGCTGGGAACCATCTAGTTCTTCTGTTTTCAGAGTCATGGAGACTAATATTCTTATGGTCTGTTTGTCTATTGAAGGAGTTGTTTCCATACGTCTTCAATTTGCACCACTCTTCTTTCCTCTGGACAGGAAGAGACCAATAGTTGCACCCTAGATGGCCATTCATGAACTTTTAAGACCCCAGTAGCTGTTTACCAAAGAAGGATGTTGAACATTGTCTTTGTGGACTATGTTATGCCAATTGACCACCGTGTCCCCCAAGACCAGAGTCCTGAAGCCCCAGGCTCAGCGACTCATTCCCTCAAGGTGTTTGGTTATGTCTAAGAAGTTTTCCTAACTTTAACACCTGTACACTTCACCACATTCATTGATACATTTGCAGCAAAGGTCAATGCCCATGAAAAGATCCTCAGTCAAATCTCTATACATTTGTGGCTAGTCTTCCATTGTACTTACTAGTTTTGACGCATGGTAATCCTGTGTGTGTCAAGAGTAAAACTGCACTCCCTGTTTCTAATGTATGGTAATCTCATGTGTGTCCAAGTGGAACTGCACTCCATAGACTTCTCAGCGGCTATAATCATTTGGAGGAGTCCTGGTGTGGCACTGTGGGTTAACGTGCCAGACTGCAAAGCCATTTGAACTGCAAGGTCAGTGGTTCAAGTTCACCAGCTGCTCCTTGGGAACCCTATGCAGTGTCGCTATGGTCTGGAACCGACTCTAAGGCATTTCACAACAACAATCACATGGAAGTGGATTTCAACTACCCACCTTTCAGTTAGTGGCCAGCAATAAGCCTACCACAGACTGCTTTTAGCACCCAGGTGCAACTCTCAATGACTGTTTTTATTCCCAGACAGATAGAGCCTGTCATACAGAACTTAAGAAGCAGAAAGAGAAGGGTATAAATGGGAAGAGGGGCTTCAGGGCCACATCCACAGCTATGACATGGTCTCAATAATTCCTCCTTCTCCAGCCTGTGATGAGGAATGAGAAAACAGCAAGGTGCTTGCACACAGTAGGACTTCTGGTTTTTGAGGGCAGCTTTATATGGTGCAGGGGATTGCAGAGGTTTTATGTTCCCATACTTTTAAATTCTAGCATCTTGGGTGGAATGGTTGAAGGGACTTAGAGACTCAAGACAACAACAATGAACTCTTGTTGTTGTTAAGGGCCGTCGAGTCAGCACTGACTCATAGCAACCCTGTATAGGGTTTCTGAGGAGCGGCTGGTGAGTTTGAACCCTTACCTTGAGGTTTAAAGTGACCTTGCAGACCAGTGCATTAACCTACAGCAAATCAATAACTTATTTCTGCAGCATCAATGGGCCCAAGCAACGGAATGATTGTGAGGATGGCACATGACTGGGTGGTGTTTCATTCTGTTCTGTTCTGTTCTGAGTTAGAACCAACTCCATGGCACCTAGCAACACTGCAGCATTACAGGGTTCATGAGATAGCCAGCGGACCTCTTGCGAGCTTGGTCATGTTCAACGCAAATCTGCATTTGCCTGTGTGCTTGTGCTCCTGTGAGGCTGGGCACTCATGTCTGAGTCGATTATTCCTTGTTGGGAACAAGCTGTAATCCACCTCTCACCAGTAATTTTGCTCTCTATTATTCCTTCAGGCAGACATTTCAGAGCCTCCAAGTATTGTTGAGAGGGCAGTTGGAACAAAAGGAAATGTTCCACATGGATTGACATTTGGCAACAGGAGGTGTCCCTGTGTAGGAGGACAGTGATTGAAAACTGCGGGTGGTGGAAAGGGCCGGCAGAGACTGGGTCCAAACTTTTGCCAAGCTGTGTTATCTTGGGCTAATTTAGTGTTAATTTCTGAAATCTTCATTTACCTATCTATAAAATGGGAATAATACCAGACATCCAGGTTGTAGCAAGGACTAATGAAGTAAGTGCCAATTACCCTTCTACTTGGGATACCCAAACCAAACCCTGTATTCCTACTCATAGCAACCTCATGTGTTCAGAGAGTAGAATTGTCCCAGTCTTCTTAGCTGCAAGCTATACAGATACACAGGTGCCACTTGGTGTGTTCGAACCGCCAACCTTTAGGTTAGTTGTCATTGTTGTGTGCCGTCGAGTCAGGGTTTCTGAGGAGCAACTGGTAGGTTTGAACCGCCCACCTTGTGGTTAGCAATCCAGTGCTACTCCTATAGCGCCACACCAGTAGACAAGCGAATCGTTTGCACCATCCAGGGTCCTCTACGTGTGGTTGTTGTGGAGAGGAGTGTGTGTGTGTGTGTGTGTGTGTGGGTAGGTGGGTGGGTGTGGGTGTGTGTGCTCGCGCGCGCACGCGCGCCCTGGACTTGCGGGTGTGTTTCCCCGGCAGCGTGCGTGTAGATGTGCGCTGGGTTGCCGGGAGGTGTGTGGCTGCGGCACTGGCTGAGAACAAGCACCCGCGGGAGATCAGCGTGGCCGGGTGACTGAGCGCGGGATCCAGTGCGCGCCAACCCGCCGCCGGGGAGTGGGGCGGACCGCGGACGGCGGGCTGCGGGAGGAGGGACTGAAGGGAGGGCCGTCAGCGCGCGGGGCCGCGGAGCCAGCAGGCGGCACTGAGCCAGGAGGCGGCGCCGCGGGGAGGAGAGCGGACTCGTAGAGCGCTGCGTGCCGAGCCGGCCGGGAGCCGGGCGTGCCAAGGGACGTCGGGGGCGGCGATCTGCATTTGGGGCGCAGAGAGGGCAGCGAGACTAGGCGAAGCGCAGCCCGGCGGGGCGCCGTGGCCGCCGTGGCCACCCCTCCTTCGAGGGACTCGGGAAGACGCGAGAAGAGCAGGTCGGCGGAGCCGGGGTGGGGGGCGTGTGTGTGTTCTTATGTGTGTCTGCGCGCGAGGGTTGGGGAGCGTGTATGGGCGTGCGTGTGTGGATGATACTGTGCGTTGTGATGTGTGTATATAGTGTGTGTGAATGTGTTGGGGGTGCGTGTGCCTCTCTGTGGCTGTGCATGCTGTATGTGCCTTCTGTGAGGCGTGTGTGTGTGTGTGTGTGTGTGTGTGTGTGTGTGTGTGTAAGAGAGAGAGAGACAGAAAGACAGACAGACGCAGAGATAGAGGACGCTAGGCGTTCATGAGCTTGGGATCTGAACCCTTATAGGAGGGAGGACAGAACGTGTGTGCGCGTGCACGTGTGTGTGCAAGGGTTTGTGAATGATGAGTGGGTGAGTGTCTCGGGTGCTAGGTGTGGCCGCGTATGTGATGTAAGGGTGCTGAGTGCACGTGTGTCACCTCCTGTCCCCCCACCAGATGTGTGTGCGTGGTGGGGGGGCGTGTTGTGAGGATTCTACTGCAGCAACCCCTTCTGGGCCTGCCTGCCTGGCCCTCTTACTCAGGAAGCCTGAAATCTCCAATCTGCCCCTTCCCATATACTTGTACAGTCAGGGAAGGGTGGGACAGAGGGGACAGAACCCTGCCTCCCTGGGGCACCTGCTTGGCTTCTCTGCTAAGCGTCAGGACTATTCTCTTAGCTCTGCAGTCCCTCAGCCCTGTCCTCTGCCCTCCTAGGGCCTGTGACCAGTGGTCTCAGGGAACCCAAGGACCGTGGGCTGCGACTGGGGACAGAGGGCAGGGGACAGGAATTGGTTGTGCCCCATTAGTGAGGGTTTGCTTATTCCCAGCTATAGATCACTCAGGGTACAGAGTTCAGGATCTGCCTCAATAAAGATTTGAGGATGAAGAAAGGATGCGAGGAAGACGGGGAGGGAGTCCAAGTCCAGCCTGTCTGCCATCAGTTGAGTGATGAGGGGAGTTGGGTTCAGTCAGCCCTCAGCCCCCAGGTTGAGCAGGTGGGAGCAGGCAGTTGGGAAGAGGGAGCCTGAGCAGGGGGAACTGTTGGGGAGAGATCTGTGCTGGGGCCTGAATGTAAAGTCAGCATGCCACCCTCTCCTTGGGTGGAACTTTGCATCCGTCCCTCACCGGATCAGAAGTCCCTCTCTGCAGCACTGGGTCCTAGAAAGGGACAGGAGCAGCAATCAGGACTCATCAGGCCTCTCCTCTCTCCAGGACTCTAGTGCTCAAAGGTGCTGAAGAACTGAACCCCTTGCCCACCAAGGCTGGGACCAGAAGTTTGGAGCCATGGCAGGCTGTGGCTGTGTGGGGCTAGGGCTCTTCTGCTGGGCCCTGCTGGCTGTCCCTGTGGGCCCCCAGCTTACCTCCTCTGTCCCAGGGGTCTCTCTCACCACCTTGAGCCCCCCACCTCAGAGTGAGGCCTCAATGCTGTCTCTCAACCTGGGTCTTAATTTCAAATTCCATCTTCGGGGACCTGCGGCTGTCTGGGGAAGTCCCGTCACAGAGACCCAGCGTATGTCCCCTGGACTGGGCCGGGAGCCAGAAGAAGAAGTGGCCAGTGGGCTGAAGATGGACCCTCTTTGGGATTTGCTGGTGGGCTCTCTTGGGAACTCTCCCCCAGAGTGGGGCTCAGCTGAAGGCAGTTCTGGACCCTGGACTTCCTCACTGCCGCTGGTATCCACATCCCCCCTCTCTGGGCCCTCCACCCGGCCCACCACTCCCTATCAGCCCCAGATGGGCTCTGTGACATGGGACACTGCACTGACAACAACGACTCTGCCATTCAGTGCCCCCAGACCCCACCAGAGCGAGCTGGAGCTGAAATTGGACGTGGCACTGAGAGCAGGTGCAGCCCCCACACTCGGACACCGGACGCTGCCCCTGCTGCCCAGCCTTCGGGCCAGCCTGGCTGAGATTGCTGGGCGCCTGGGGCCCTTTGGTGAGTATCACCCTTTCTGAGGGGAGCCCTTGCAGCAGACAGCAGTTTCAGCAAGGTTCCTTTTGCAGGGTTCTTTGGGACTACTCTGTCCCCACTCCAGAACTTCTCAGGTTCCAACCCCCAGGACGAAACTACACCCCCAAACTCTGCCTCCGGAGTTTCAGAATCTCCAGGTGGGTGTGCATGCCAGGGGTCAGTGGTGGTCTAGTGGTAGAATCCTTGCCTCCCTGGGTTTGATTCCCAGCCAATGCACCCCATGCTCACCGCCATCACCCCTTTGTCAGTGGAGGCTTGCATGTTGCTCTGATGTGTAATACATTTCATTGGAGCTTCTAGACAAAGACAGACTAGGAAGAAAAGGTTGATGATTCACTTCTGAAGATCAGCCAGTGAAAACCGCATGGATCACGCCTGTCCATTCCAATGACTACTGTACCCCAGGCCCTGTGCTGGGGGCCTAACCAGTAGCTCCTTTTCTTCCTTGCCTCAGAGGAGGCCTGCATTGTTCTTCCAGGCTTGCCATACATGCTCCTGCAGGGAGGGGTCCTCTCTGCTGTACCAGTCTAGTTTGGTCCATGCTGGCTTAGTTTGTGGTTTACATGTGACTCCCATTCCTGGAACAGTGGTTTCCTTAGGAAAGGGTGATCTCCAAAGTCCCAGCGGCCCAGCCTGGCTTGTGTACTCTCTTTACAGGCTTCTTTGGTACTACTCTGTCCCCATCCTCACACCCGCTGAAGCGGAAGTTCTCAAAGCCAAGCCTACTGGACCCAAGTGCTTCCTTGAGCTCTGCTGTCATTTTAACAGAGTCGCTAGGTAAGTGTTACATTTCATCTGTACTCAGCACTCATTTAATTTCATTAGTACTGAGCACGTACTACATGCTAGCCACTGATGGGTGATCTGGGACCCTACTTCCGTCTCACCATGGATATATATATATATATTCATGAACTGCGACCAGTTGTAGCTGGGTAAGATCCCCAGAATTAAGTCGTGGGGCTCCAGGAGTTTTGTAATCATAGGCAGAGCAGGATGTAGAAAATGGATCAGGGACACATAGCACTAACCCCACCCTCACTCGGGTCGGCCCAGCCTGCCTCTTCACCCCCACCCCCAAACTGAGGGCTCTCTCCTTTGTGTCTGATTTGACATGACATGCCTATCACTGAGAACACATTGAAGAGGAGATTTTGAGCAGACAGGTGCCACCCTCAATCAATAGAACCTTCCAGAACATGCACATAGACAAGCTGGTGGTACAAAGGAAACCATGGGCCCTGGAATATTGCAGACCAGGTTTTGAATCTTACTTATTAGCTGAGTGACCTTGGGTAGGCTATTTAACTTCTCTGAGTCCAAGTCTTCTCATTTACACAATAACCACATTGCTGTCGAGTTCACTCCAACTCATGGCAACCCCATGTGTGTCACAGTAGAACTGTGCCCATAGGTTTTCAATGGCTGACTTTTGGGGAATTGGTTGCCAGGCCTTTATTCTGAAGCACCTGTGGGTAGACTTGAACTGCTAGCCTTTCTGTTAGCAGCCAGGTTCGTTAACTGTTTGTACCACCCAGGAATTCCTTCTGTACAAAGTTGTTGGAACTATACCATCAAGTCAGTTCCAACTCATAGCAACCCTGTACAGAGTTTCTGAGGAGCTGCTAATGGGTTTGAACTGCCAACCCTGTGATTCACAGTCCAGTGCTGATCCTACAGCACCACACCAGGACTTAACAATACTAGCTCCTTTTCAAAGTTTTGATAATACTTCCAGAGAATGTAATCAAACTCCTGGCATAATGCTGGGCACAAATTAGAAGTTCACTAAATGGTAGCTATTAATCTCATTTTTCCTGTCATTGCACCCAAAGACACCCCAGACCTTTCTTCTCGAACACCCCATCCTTGGGTCCCAGGGTGTGGTGGGACATTTTGTCCACACCAGAGCACCACCTGAGGGGCAAAGGGCACCACTGCTATTAGGGAACTTCTGACAGGTGAGACCAAGGGAGTCTGGCTGAGGGACTCCAAGTCTTTAACTGTGGCTGGGAACCTCAGCAGAGGAAACCATCGATACCTCAGATTCTTCCAGCCCCAGACTTCACTCAGTACCTAACATTCTTATGGGCTCCAGCGCAGTCCCTGCAGTCCCTGTCTTCCCCTCCCCCCAGTATGCAGCAGTAGTGAGACCTGCTGTGGGGTGGGGGTCAGGCTGTGTGCCTCAGGGGAAGGATGCTAGCAGGTCTGTCAGCCTGGATAACAGCGATGGCTAGGCAGGTTTCATGAGTCTGGATAGTGTCAGCGCAGCCCTGCCTGCCTTCCCCTCCTTACTGACAGCTGCAGGAACCCAACCTCATCAACCTCTTAGATAAACTCAGGAGGACCAGCAGTGCACATGGGGGGAGCAGAGGTGTGCCAGGCAATCAGGGGACAAAGGAAGTCTCTTGGTGTCACCTCTAGGATCCAATGTATGTGTGGTTAACCTTTGTGATTTCTCTTGCATTAGGCCCATTCTCCAGGTGCTGTGGTTGTTGTTAAGTGCCATCTGGTTGCGGTTGTTGTTGTTAAGTGCCGTCGAGTCAATTCCAACACATATAGGGTTTCCAAGGAGCAGCTGGTGAGCTTGAACCGCTAACCTTGCAATTCAAACGACTTTGCAGTCTGACGCATTAGCCCACAGTGCCACACCAGGACTCCAGGGGCTGTGGGCAGAGCTTGAATTTAGCCAGTACACACCAGGACAGGTGTGTTAACATGTTGTTAACAGACTGAAAGATTTCCAGACCATTTGAAGAGAAGCCATTGCCCTTGGTGGCTTGATGAGTCCCACCCACTCCCCCTGACTCCCTTCCTGACTGACACCTATTCTGATTGGCTGGTGTCTATGCTATTCCAGTTGTTAAATATTTTAAGTGCCCCTCGACCCCGCCCATAAAAATGATTCTTGGTAGTGTAGTGAGTTATGTGTTGTGCTGTTAACTACAAGGTTGCAGTTCAAATCCACCAGCAGCTCTGTGGAAGAAAGATTAAGCTTTCTGCTCCTGTAAAGATTTCCAACCTCAGAAACCCTTTACACGGGCACTATGAGTAGGAACTGATATGGTCCACCCTCACCCTATTAAAGAATATCAATCTCAGTGACATGAAGGTGGGTGTGAGGGAAGGATAGAGTCAGGCAGTGAGTAGGGCTGCTGCTCCCAGAATTCTGAGTGGAGCTGGGATTCCCCAGTGCTTTCATCTGAGAAGCTGGTAGATAATGAGGCCTGGCTTTTTCATAAACTGAACCCACCCCAGCCTCCACCCCTCCCCAGGTAGCTCTGGCCTCTTGGATTAGATTAGTCACAATGACATCCCATGGCTACCCTCAGCCTCTGAGGCCAGGAGAAGCTGCAAGTCCAGAGCACCTAGGAGGGGAGGCCTGCTCAGGAGAGGGATCCTGGGAAATGGGCACTAGAGATCATGATCTTCCAAGGTGGGGAAACTGAAGGCTCCTTCCAGGAATCTCTCTAATGGAGAGCCAGGAGGCCAGTCAAATGGACCCATCAAAGACAGAAGCTGAGTTTTCTTCTCCCTGTCACCACTCACATCTGACTTAAACCTGGGTATTTGGCCTTCTCTGAGCCCTGGAATTCATGCTCCTCATTCAGAACACTCTTCTCGGAGGCCTGAACTGTGCCTGTGTTTTGTCTGGAGTCCCTGACAGATAGTGGGCATGGTTAAGTACTTGACTATTAATTGAAAGGTTGGTGGTTTGAACCCACCCAGAGTGCTTCAGAAGAAAGGCCTGGTGATCTGCTTTCAAAAGGTAACAGCCTTGAAAACCCTGTGGAGTGCAGTTGTACTCTCAACAATTTTTGTGTGCTTTCTGGTTCTAATTCATTTCTTGGCTTCTCAGGAATTTGCTCTAATTGCCACTGTGCTTTGGGACGGAGATAAGAGATAGGGTGCCCTATAGCCCACTGGTGACAAGTAGAGTTGGAAGAGGGCAAGATGAACAGACCTCTGAGAACTGCACTTGTCTGTTCATTTGGGTGGTGGTCGGGGGGCAGTTGAAGAGTGACCAGCTAGTGCAGATTGTGACCTTATGGGCAGGGTCTCCTTGCCTTTCTCCAGAGCTCACAACAGCCAAGGGAAGGTCAACTCTCCCATTTTATAGAAGTGAGCTGGAAAAGGCACCTGAGAAGACCCAAGGCAGTGGGGGGGGGGGGGGGGGAGGAGGATGAGGAAGAAGATGTGTGTATCTGATCTTGCAGATGTCAGACTGATGCCCATCCCTGTTCAGCAAGTGGTTCATTTCCAGCTGAATGGTTTTTATGTAACTGTTGACTGGTGTCTTTATTAGTTGATACAGACCTTGATGGTTGGTCTATCATAATGACGTTTTAAAATTGCAGTTCAAAAAGGGAGACAATGTGCTAATTGTTGTCTAAGTAAGTTCAGGAGCTGCTCAGGGCTTTTAGGGCCCTTGGTGGCTCAGTAGCAGAATTCTTTCCTATCATGTGGGAGAGTCAGGTTTGATTATTTCTGGACAATGCACCTCATAAATAACCCATCTGTCACTGGGAGCTTTCATGTTGTGTGATGCTGAACCAGCTTCATTGGAGCTACCAGACTAAGACAGGAGTAGGAAGCAAGACCTGGCGATTCACTTCTGAAAATCAACCATTGAAAACCCTATAGCACCGTCTCGTGGTGATGGCAGCATTTTGTTCCATTACACATGGTGTCACCATGAGTTAGGGACCAACAATGAAGGGGGTTTTTGCTACAGACAGCAATCTTTAGTTAGCCAAAGCAAGAACTCCTTTGAGAACAGAAGTGATCACACTCACACAAATACAAACTGATGATTGATTGGCCAGTGATGAACATTAGCCAATGATAACGATGTGATAACAATCATATATTGACTTCCTAATCACGTACCAGACACGCCAAAGAACTTGTACACAGCCTATCATGACAAGCTGTGGACAACATTGTGAAGTATGAGTATTCCAGAACATTTAATTGTGCTCATGAAGAATGGACAAAGAGGCAGTTGTTCGAACCGAACATGGGAACACTGAATGGTTTAAAATTAAGACAAGTGTGCGACAGGGTTGTATTCTTTCACCATATTTGTTCAACCTGTATGCTGAGCAAATCATCCGAGAAGCTGGGTTATATGAAGAAAAATGTGGCATCAGGATTGGAGGGAGACTCATTAACAGCCTGCAATATGTAGATGAGACAACCTTGCTGGTTGAAAGTGAAGAGAACTCAAAACATTTACTGATGAAGATCAAAGAGCACAGCCTTCAGTATGGATTGCATCTCAATGTACTGAAAACAAAAATC